CAATGCTTTTGCTGTCTATAACTCATGCAGCCATATAATTCTCCTTCCCTCTTCAGGATCCTGATATATGCTAAATGCACAAACAATGCAAATGGAAGATAATGACTTCATTCTCGGGATAATAAGCCCAAAAGTTTAATTGAGCCAAAGACCTATGCTGTCCCCACACATGCATGTATTTCTACTGTATGAAAGCCCAAAGTTAAGGAATTCTACAGGGTGGATTTATATTGTGAATGCACAGACCACGTGTGCCTGTGATTGTATAATGCCATAAAGTATTAATTGTATTCTATAGAGAGGAACAAGCCTATTTTTGGGCTTGTCCCTCAATGAATATTTCTGATGCACTTTTTGTATTGCTGATTACCTTCTGAGGTTTTTGTGCCTTTGATATGAGATTTTTTTCAAGACAGTCATTGCGCTGCTTGGCTTGATTTCCCTTTCTTGTCCTACTGGTGTTCAAGGTCTGGATGGGTGTGTTTTGTCTATGCAACAAAGACCACGGAGATGTCTTGTATCGTCGAGTGATTTTGAGCTGCAGCTGAAGAAGATGAAGGGATGAGGATGTGGGTGAAAATCTTGATGTATGATGATTCCAGCATACAGTGGATCTCTTTGTAACCATGTCATGGGTGATAATTGAAAAGGAAGGGATTATACCGGTCTTCTTACTGGTATTATGTTATGTTTGAGGGTGTCACTGGTACTTTTGTAAAATAAGAGTAAGTAAGTGTAGAATATATCCTAGGAATTATCAAAGTAAGTAAGCCTGTGTCATGTTGATGAGCATGAAGACGGGCAGTAAATTATGAGATTGTCATTTGAAGAGCAGTGTTCCTCTGGTTTCACCATTGTGCCTTCTTCTAAATGGCAGTGTAAGGCATGTGCAATAAATTTGCAAGCAATAAACAGCAAGACCTGTCTACATGATGAATGGCATCACCTGTCTGCTGATATTTAAATTAAACTTTTGTATATTTTCAGAAGGAGATGTGTGTTCTTGTGTCTTGTTTTTGGAAACACTTCCCCATCACTTAGACATACATTTCAATGCTACATCTTTTTCTCAGAGACATCCATCATTTCATTATGATTTCTTCAAGGCCGTTGCGGGACAAACATGTTCAATCTTATTCAACATGGCATACTTAATTGTCAAGATTAAGGCCTAAACATATAAATTCTCCCTCTAAGTAGCTGTATTGCTGTTAAATTCATCATATATCAAACTATCTGACAGTTTCATATATACTGTATTTGGCTGCAAAGCATTTTACTTACAGTACTTGCTCACTAGCAGGTGATCAAGGTTTGTCATACACGGTAAAACAGTGGTGGATAAAGCATCCGGATTCTTGATTTAAAAGGTAACTTAGGTCCAACCTGGACACTATTTTGAATTTTGTCCAGTATTGAGTGAGAGGGCTGCAGTGTAATCACTGGGGGCACATGTGCACCTTCAATTCATGTCCACTTAAAGTGTTTGTTTTTGCCACTGACAGGCTCAGATTTTTATAAGTATCTGGGAACATTATGACAGATTATAACAGAGGCAGACCTTTTTGTCAGAATAAGGGGGTTTTCACATATAGTCCTTTTTTTTTAGAAAACTGAATTCAGTCCTCTTAAAGTGGACCAAAAAGTGGACCAACAGAAAAGGGACTCAGTTCTCTTTCTGTTCACACTTAATGTAATGTATATTGATATTGTTTTTTTGTTGTTACTTTGACATCAATCAATCAATCAATTTTATTTAAAAAGCCCAATATCACAAATCACAATTTGCCTCACAGGGCTTTACAGCATAAGACATCCTTCTGTCCTTATGACCCTCACAGCGGATAAGGAAAAACTCCCCAAAAAAAAAACCCTTTAACGGGGAAAAAAAAAACGGTAGAAACCTCAGGAAGAGCAACTGAGGAGGGATCCCTCTTCCAGGACGGACAGACGTGCAATAGATGTCGTACAGAACAGATAAGCATAATAAATTAACAGTAATCCATATGACAAGACATCACATGACACTGCAGTGCAGTTATGAAGCCCTTCGCTTTCAGATGAACTTAAAATGGGAGGAAACCTCAGTGTTTCTGTGCCGTTCTGTTGCCGTTTGCTGTATTCTACATTCCACATCTGAAGATGTGCAGTATCTTCTGTGGACCAAACTACCTGCGTCCTTGCAAGTGTTACAGGCCAACGTGGTTGCTTTTTATTTTTTATTTTTTTCCCAAGCCTCCCAGTGCAACAGCATGTGATCTAGAGGGTTCAATGCAGTGGCAAAGAGCAAAGTGAACCTGGAGCACTTTGTGTTCACGATGCACAGTGAAGCGAACTGCACTGCGGACTTGGCTCGCTTCAGAGGGGTCTGAGTTCTCTTGGAGTGTTCACATATGTGCAAAAAATGCTGAGGGTGTTTTCACACTTGGTCCTTTTAAGCCCTCTAAACAGAGTCAGAGCAGTGACTCAGTATTTTCTGGGCATATGTGGACACTCCAAGAGAACTCAGACCCCACTGAAGTGAACCAAACTCAGACCACCTCGGGGGTGGTGCAGTTCACTTCACCTGAGCCTTGTGAACACAAAGTGCTCCAGGTTCACTTTGCTCTTTGCCACTGGATTCAGTCCTCTAGATCGCATGCTGTTGCATTGGGACGCCTGAAAAAATAGACAAAACCACATCGCCCTGTAATGCTTGCAAGGACGCAGGACGAGGAGTAGTTTGGTCCACAGAGGATACTGCACATTTCCAGATGTGGAATGTAGAATACATCAATCGGCAACAGTTTACAGCACACAGAAAGTGAGGGGCTTCATAACCACATTGCAGTGCCACATCAAAGTAAAAACAAAACTATGTCAATATCTTTTATACATATATAGGCTATAGTTTGAACAGAGAGAGGACTGAAGCCCCGTCAGAGCTGAAGTTGACCAGAAAGAGAACTGAATCCTCTTTCAAATGAACTGACAATGTGAACACAAAAAGAACTGAGTCCCTTTTCTGTTGGTCCACTTTTTGATCCACTTTAAAAGGATTGAGTTCAGCTCATTTAAAAAGGACTAAATGTGAAAACACCCTGAGATCCTTTTTATTGAACCAGAAACAGCCCTGAAATCATCTATCACCAAACCTCCAGATTCCATTAAAAAAACAACAACAACTAATTCTGTCATAATAAAACAAACTTTGTTCAAAATTGACAGAAACAAAATAAAACTCATAAAAGTCATCTTGGTTCGTCTTTCCACTGCTCCAACAAATATCAACTCTGGTTTGCTTTAAATAAGTCCTTAATTCACCCAGTTGGATGTGAAAATATGCTGGATTCATACATGCTAAAATTGCGCTTCATTAGAATGGAGTCTGGTTGGTTTGGCAATAGCAATTTCGGGCCTGTTGCTGAAGGATCTTGCGCTTTAACAAAAAGGTCTATCTCTGTAGGGATGTTTCAATAATATCAGACACATAAAATAATAATCTGAGCCTGTAGTGGCAAAAACAAGCACTTTTAGTGGACATTCAATGATGGTGCATACTTCCCATGTTGTGATTACAATGCAACCTGACCTTACAATGCTGATGACCCTGTTGTGTAATACTGGACCTGGAAAATAGGGTCCAAGTTGAAAACATACTGAAGTCCCCCTTTAAGTAAAACCATAGTCTAAAATACACTGTTAAAAGTAAAAGTCCAGCACTGAAAATGCTAGGCTACTTAAAGGTACAGGAGTATGTTTAATGCAATGTGCTTGCCCTAAAATATTAAAAGTAAAAGTGTTCATTGCATGTTTTAAAGGCTTATTTTGTACACCTACAAGCCGTTCACCAAACCATGCAGGGTCTGTTTTACATACACAATACTGGGCATTCCTATAAGCAGAACGCAATCAATAACCCAGTGTTTGTTAAGTCCAATAACCCTGTGGAGACTGAACTCCTCCATGTGGCTGATGCTGCCCCCTGATGGCTGCTTCATATTCTGCAGTCAGGGTGGTGAAGACTTAGTAGTGAAGATGCAGCAGTGGTGGAAAGCAAAGTACATTTACTCAAGTATAAGTACAATTTTGGGGTACTTGTGCATGAGTATTCTCACATGATACTATTCAGTACTTAGATGTAGATGGAAAGAGTATACTTTCAGCAAACTACAGTCATCTGCCATCTGGTGTTACATTGCAAATTCACACTTAACATGTTGATTGCGACATTATCTACATTATAATGCTGCTTAAGAGTTGATGCATCAATAATAGTCCAATAATAACCTCAACATATATGCAACACTTAAATGTGTAATTTGCACTGAGAGATTTTTTCGATACTTCCAAATTTTGCTGATTGTAGGCTACTTTTAGTTAAGTAGAATTTTGCAGAACTTGTTATGGAGTATTTTTACACTGTGGTATTACTACATTTTCTTAAGCAAGAGTCTCAGTACTTCCTCTGTCCATGGGATCCAGGGGCCTCCTGAGGTCTTTTCCTTTCCCCAACCGCTAGATGAGGAATAATTTAATATAACAGTATTACAAATAGAGAGCACAAGTTGGACATTATTATTATTATTGCTCTCGCACTTATTTGTGTAACTGTAGCTCCTCATTTTATCCGCTGTTGATTATTGGCCTGATGTTTGTGTACTTTGAGAGCCCTTGGGATAGCTATTGCATCATAAATTTAAATATTTTTCGTCACATTTTGTATTGTTCTTAGAAGAGATTAGAGGTGGGAAATTGTCCGAGTGCCACCATTTAACTGTCACCTGCATGTCACGCTGTGCTCTGTAATTTCCTTATATTTTGCAGCTTTGACAGATTTCAACGGACACCCGCCCCATCCTGAAATACAAACAGATATAACAACCAATAGAAGCACGAGTTTGCAGTAGCAGGCACCGCTTTTACGTGACGGACGTGCACTTGAGCCAATCAGAAGCCTCAATGTCGCGCCTCCCAACCGGAGACGGATTTCCGAACCAAGTGTAGCAAAATAGCCTGTACTTTGTTTACGTCCCGTTGGTTAGCTGACAGCTGTTGTAGCGTTTCACCCACACAAACAACCACGTCTGCGTGTCTCTGGCGGTCACCTGGAGCTTCGCAAACTTTAAGCCGACTACTCTGGATGTCGTGGATGGGATGTTTTGTTGAATGACGGGGAGCCGCTAGATGCCGACAGGAGGATGAACTCCATCACCGGTCGGGTTCTCGCCATCCCCGCCGCCTCTGTCACCAACTCTGGAGCTTCATCCTCTCGAGCCTTACATGTAGAGCTCACGTCCCAGCAGGTAAATGCAAACCCGGCTGAGCTCATCTTAACGTGAACTGCTTTGAAATGACACAGGAGAACCTGTACTGGGCCGCCTCAGTGTGTTATACACTAGTTTAGAACGGCAGTTACAACTGCTGCCTGGAGAGACACGGCAGGCCTGTCAGGCTAGCTAGTTAGCTAGGACCTGCTAGCTTGCAGTTAGCTAGCTTACTGGAAATTAAAGGAGCTGCTGTGACACCCCAGACACACCAACACCAGTTAGGCTGGTTTTAGGCAATTTTGAGCCCAGACTTTGCAGTGTGTTGCTCTTTTATAAGGGTATTTATAATTTTACACGTTTAAATGTGCTCGAAGCTAGCATGCTTCTGCTAATGGCAACTTAACTTGGCGTTATGTCAGCACGCAGGTGACAGCTCAGTTAAAGGGGAACAGTAGCATATGTCATCACTGGGATGAGGTATTGTCTCATGCAGTCACTTTATTAGGGTTTGCAACATGTCTGGACCATGAACTACTTTCATTTTCGCTTCTTTGGAAGCCTCTAAAATAATCTAGCCACTCATTCATTCATATATCCATTCATTCATGTATATGTAAACGACATGTAACAAGTTTACAGTTATTAATTAGGGCTACCGACCTTCTACTGTAAAATTGACCCCGTACAGACACATTATCATCCCTGACATTGTGAGCTTTAGTTAGATATTGGTTAAGCTATCCACTCTGATGGATATCTTCATGAGGTTGAGAATCACATGGATATTGTGCAGCTCATAGAGCCAAAACCTGATCTGTACACAACATACAGTGAGTCAGTCATTTACTGTAAATGCAGCTCGGACCTGTTACATCTACAAACCTACATCAAACTGATTCAGTCCACATCAGGAGTCCAAGTAGGGCCTGTCTGCAGTAGACAGCCGTAGCAGGGTGTTGCTTCAGAGTCACAGTAGAGGTGTGAATATAAGTTGTAGATGAGCATTTAGATAATGTGGTTAGTGTGGATGTCAAACTGTGTCAGCAGATCAGTTCAGAGAGAGTAAGGAGAGTTTCTGCTGTTATTCATAGTAAATAGACTACTTATATTTTTCTAGGGTAATGCTCAAATACTTGAGACCAAACTGTTAAAGTGTTAGCGCTACAAATAACAAACGCTCAACAAAATACAGAATTAAAAGTTGAAGACATGCCACTTACTGAATGTTCGCATAGCAAATGTTAACCCGAATCCTATTTTTTTTTATATCAATAGTATGATAACTACAGTACAGGCCAAAAGTTTGGACACACCTTCTCATTCAATGCGTTTTCTTTATTTTCATGACTATTTACATTGTAGATTCTCACTGAAGGCATCAAAACTATGAATGAACACATGTGGAGTTATGTACTTAACAAAAAAAGGTGAAATAACTGAAAACATGTTTTATATTCTAGTTTCTTCAAAATAGCCACCCTTTGCTCTGATTACTGCTTTGCACACTCTTGGCATTCTCTCGATGAGCTTCAAGAGGTACTCACCTGAAATGGTTTCCACTTCACAGGTGTGCCTTATCAGGGTCAATTAGTGGAATTTCTTGCTTTATCAATGGGGTTGGGACCATCAGTTGTGTTGTGCAGAAGTCAGGTTAATACACAGCCGACAGCCCTATTGGACAACTGTTAAAATTCATATTATGGCAAGAACCAATCAGCTAACTAAAGAAAAATGAGTGGCCATCATTACTTTAAGAAATGAAGGTCAGTCAGGCCGGAAAATCGCAAAAACTTTAAATGTGTCCTCAAGTGGAGTCGCAAAAACCATCAAGCGCTACAACGAAACTGGCACACATGAGGACTGACCCAGGAAAGGAAGACCAAGAGTCACCTCTGCTTCTGAGGATAAGTTCATCCGAGTCACCAGCCTCAGAAATCGCAAGTTAACAGTAGCTCAGATCAGAGACCAGATGAATGCCACACAGAGTTCTAGCAGCAGACCCATCTCTAGAACAACTGTTAAGAGGAGACTGCGCGAATCAGGCCTCATGGTCAAATAGCTGCTAGGAAACCACTGCTAAGGAGAGGCAACAAGCAGAAGAGATTTGTTTGGACCAAGAAACACAAGGAATGGACATTAGACCAGTGGAAATCTGTGCTTTGGTCTGATGAGTCCAAATTTGAGATCTTTGGTTCCAACCGCTGTGTCTTTGTGAGGCGCAGAAAAGGTGAACGGATGGATTCCACATGCCTGGTTCCCACTGTGAAGCATGGAGGAGGAGGTATGATGGTGTGGGGGTGTTTTGCTGGTGACACTGTTGGGGATTTATTCAAAATTGAAGGCACACTGAACCAGCATGGCTACCACAGCATCCTGCAGCGACATGCCATCCCATCCGGTTTGTGTTTAGTTGGACGATCATTTATTTTTCAACAGGACAATGACCCCAAACACACCTCCAGGCTGTGTAAGGGCTATTTAGCCAAGAAGGAGAGTGATGGAGTGCTGCGGCAGATGACCTGGCCTCCACAGTCACCGGACCTGAACCCAATCAAGATGGTTTTGGGTGAGCTGGACTGCAGAGTGAAGGCAAAGGGGCCAACAAGTGCTAAACACCTCTGGGAACTCCTTCAAGACTGTTGGAAAACCATTTCAGGTGACTACCTCTTGAAGCTCATGGAGAGAATGCCAAGAGTGTGCAAAGCAGTAATCAGAGCAAATGGTGGCTATTTTGAAGAAACTAGAATATAAAACATGTTTTCAGTTATTTCACCTTTTTTTGTTAAGTACATAACTCCACATGTGTTCATTCATAGTTTTGATGCCTTCAGTGAGAATCTACAATGTAAATAGTCATGAAAATAAAGAAAACGCATTGAATGAGAAGGTGTGTCCAAACTTTTGGCCTGTACTGTATGTATAAGAATATATCCTAATTAAATATAAATGTCATGCTTATATATGGCCCAGTTCTATTTGCTGTAGTGTTCATAAATCTGAGGTAAACTTTCTTAATTTCACAAGTGTTGGTATTGAGCTCGCTCAGGAGAAATTGTAAGTAGGGCTGTGTATACATACGATACGTATCACAATACAAGGTTTACAATTCAATATGTTGCTGTATATTGCCTTACAGTAAGCAAGACAATGTATATTGCAATTTTAAAATCTACTTTTAGATACTGGTGTACCCTTTGCGACTCACACAACACATTAAAAGCTTAAGTATTAATTGAAATTTTATAGTGTTTCTGAGAAGTGATACAATATTACAAAATATAGGCCTAATATCACGATACTCAAATGTATTGATATTTTTGTACACCCGTAATTGTAAGTGTAATTTAAAATGAATGTATGAAGCGATTTATTCCTTTTATTACTTTGTGTTCATGTTTTTTTTGTCTAAACGTGTTTTCAGATTTTAAAATGTGTACTTCAATCTACAGTTGATTGTGCAAAGTAAAAAGGAACATATTTGTCTGTTATTTTATTCCGTAACGACATGTTTATGGCCCAGTTGATGGTGTTGAAGGTGCAGGAAATAATGAATAAAAAGTCAGGATTATTAGGGAAGCCAGCCATGATTAGGTACCCCTAGCTCTTAGCAATAATGGAGAGATTACGCAACTCAATTTCACAACTACTACTACTATTGAAGGTATCTATAACCGAAAAGACCATGTAGATTAAAGTTATTTATTACTGTGTGTTTGCTGAAGGCAGCCCTGAACTTGTGACATCCAGAGCTGCACAAAGCCTGCAGGGTTAGTTACCATGTATGCTGTTTGTACTGTTTGTTGTATCTTGTTGAGACTCTGTTAGGCAAATGTGACTGTAAGACTTTTTCTAGCTGTTGGGTTGGCTCGACTGTGCATGTAATTCAAGACTATACATGCTCATAACAACGTAATGCACTCACTTTCCAGTTAAACTTGTACAGCTCTCTGAAACAGTGAAGTATCAATAAGGGTGGAGTAAATGTTAGGAACACCTACCCAAAGCACCACAAACTATAGCCTGCAGGCTGCAGACCATAAAGCTGAATAAACACCTCTCTAAAATGGTTTCAACAAAGACTGATCACCAGTTTGTAAAGAAAAGGGATGCCTGTATGTTCATGTATTACAGATGTTCAGCTGAGGCCTTGTGACCAGCTAATCATTTTGTCACAGCAGTCACTGCCACATACCACCTCTGGACGTTTTGATCACATTATAACACTTGATGAACTAATGATGATCCTATCTTTGATCTTTGATTGTGTCAAGCTCGTGTCTTTAATGAGGGCTCTGACGTTAGTGTGGTTTTATTGTAGAGAGCTCAACACACATGAGTAGTTTCATACTTCACAAGTGTACTCACAACCGTTTGTCTCTGCCTGTGGTCCACATTAGCCCATTCAGAAATGTGCACTCACATTTTTATGAAGAAGGGGGGTTAAAAGTCTCTTGCAGAACAATCAGTGTTTTTGTGTGTGAGGCCCTTAATCTTAAAGGGAATCCCATGACTTAGATTTAGTCTCAGTTTGGCTGCAGGAGAGAGGCCGGGCCTGCCGGTCAAGAGAGAAGTTGTGCTGTGGTGACGTGTTTGCCTGAAGCGGGACCTTGCCAAATGGCATCTCTGTGCCAAGCCTTTACTTGTCTTAACTATGCATCACTGGTATGCGAGCGTTAAGATAAACTGATATACTGACTTGTTTATAAATGATGGGTTTTTTTTCTCCTCTAGCTGGCTTGTTGCGATTTGTGGATTTTGTGATAAATTATTTTGCTGATACACTTCTCATGTGACTGTCATGTCTAACCATGCCTGCCGAGTTAACTGGGTAGTTCAATTGTGCCATGAAGACACCATGCCTTGGTTATCTGGACAGCCAACACTTAGGCTATCACAGCCAGAGGGGCCCCTGTGCACGAGAAACAACTGCTATTTTAGGCTGATTATATATAGATCATACAATGTGGTGCTTAATTGACCTCTGTGGGCATCTCTTTCCCCTTGTCCCATGAGGGTTTTGTGTCTACAGAACAGCCTAGATAGTATTTGCCGACGACCGTCACGTGATCAGAGTGAAACCGAATACAACAGGCCTGATATCTGTTATTTGTTCTCACTCTGTCCTCACTCTCCCTCCATCTCTTTCTGTTTTTCTCCCTGCCAAACAGAGGCGATTGCGTCATCTCCGGAGCATCGCGGCCAGAAACATTGTCAACAAGAATGGTTCCCCACTGCTGGACACTTACTTCACCCTCCACCTCTGTATAGGAGACCGCATATCTAGAGGTCAGTGTCAACACCCATCCCACACACACACCTTCCACCCTGTTACTCCAGCTGACAGTGAGTAACATTGGTTGATCTGTTCTCAGCAAGCTCACATGTAGTGCATGTAAAGTTTTACTATGCAAATTATAATTCTCTGCATCATGTGCTACTTTCCACCCCATGTGAAGTTATGTTAATACTACAGCTAAGGTGGTCATGACAATGATGACAATCCAAATTGCCTTAATTGTCATTATATTGTTTGTGATGCTTCAGTTAATCAGTGAGCAGCTCAAGCCAAAGCATAATTGTCTCTGTCAGGAAAGATCCTATATTATTGCAATGATTTTGGACACAAAATTCATCTCTTTGGGCTCATTATTTCATCAGTTTAACTTTACGGAGCTGCGGCATTGACATTGAACCAATACAGGCATGGGCTGGTGCGACTGTGGCTTATTGGCCGGTCGATCCCCGGTCCTCCAGTCTGCATGTCAATGTATCCTTGGGCAAGATACTGAACCCAAATTGCTTCGATGTCTGTTCCATCAGTATGTGAATGTGTGTGTGTGAATGGGTGAATGCGACATGTAGTGTTAAAGCGCTTTGAGTGGTCGGAAGACTAGAAAAGCACCATACAAGTGCGGTCCACTTACCATTTACGTTTGGTTTCTGTGAGAGTACTTATTTAAAGGTGATCCAGTCAGGTGCCTTTTTTTAAATGCACGGCTGCCAACTCCGACTCAGGACATGCCCATAATCCAATTAAGTCATCGTGGTGTCCTCGCTGCATGTCGAACAGCTTCAGGAGTTTACTCTAGATGACATAATCACTTGAGAAACTGGTTCAAATTCACAAATGAGACCTGACCTCAGAGTATATCAAGCCCAGTTGGTTTTGCATGAGTTTTCTATCTTCTGTTAATCAGCATTCTTGTATGTCTTTTTAGATTTTTACAAGAGTGAAGTCATACGAGACTCGCTGGTGAGTAAACTTACTTAAACCTTAAACTGTGAATGTCTGCCTCCTAGAGTAGGACCAGGGTGTTGTCATCACCTGCAGCTCTGCTGTTGCAGTGTGTGTTAGTACACAGGTCACTATGTGCAGTGTCACAATGAAGGCTGACATTTATACCTGCTGCCTTTCTGCCAGTCACACATTTAGCCACTCTGGATTTGTTTCACTATAACCTGACCAATAGTCATTATTTAGGCCCATTAGTCGACTAGTCGCCCGCATGTTTATGATATTAATTTAATCATTAAATGATATATTTTGGTGGTTTAAGGTGTGAGAAAGAATAGTATCAGTAACATTGTTAACACTGTGCTACATTACAGAGAAATACAAAACCGTACTAATGAACCTTCATTAATATAGGCCTATATTTTATCTACAAGTGCACGTCACACACTGAGCGAGCCGCCTGTTAATGACGCTGTGGGCTAATGGGCATGTAGCTACTTCCATGTTTCAGATGATACGTCATGTTTGTAGTCGACCAATGAAGATGAGTTTACATATCACCTTGGGTTAGTCCTTCACCTTCTCAAAATGATCCCACACTTTGGATTTCCTGCCCGACATGTTATTTAACTAGCCTGTGGAATAACCGCAGGTACCAGTCCTGGAAATGAACCTGACTCCTGTCTGACTGCTGAGCATGGCCACTTCCTGTGTCTGTCCTTTCAAATTAAAGTTTTGATTTATTTTGACAAGGCACACTCCTAGTAGAGTTCCATGTTTTTTTTTGTCTGCGACTTAGCGACCAATGAAATCTTGCCGACTAATGAGCTTTCTGGTCACAAATGTTTGGTCGACTATTAGTGGGCAGCCCTAGTGAAGTCACTGTCTGTTGCTGAATGAGTTAACACAATGGTGATTGAATCTATGGCCGATTGACGAAAGCTCCTGCATTTGCAGTGTTACGAACTGGATGTAGAGGGTGACGTGTGTGGAATAAGTGCTGTTTAAGTTACTGCTAATGCAAACTGAGCATTTCCTACTAATGCAGCTTCACATTAAAAACATTTAATTGGCGAAACTTAAGTTGAATTTAATTATGACATAGTCACAGGAAATATAATCGTTTTCAGTGAGTTCAGCACTTACTGCTATTGTTAACCAAAAATGCGTCTACATAACAAGAACAGTCATTTTCAGCATTTTTTTATGACTTAAGTTAATTGAGTTTCAAATTTTCAGCAACACCGAACCATTGAAACATTCCCCATTTATTTATTTTCAACATTTTTGGTAGAGGATGGGTTTTATTATTGCACGTAGCAATGGAACAAGAAGGAGAAGCTATAGTGAGCTGTTAGATGAAGAGCTGCAGGTGACAGGCTGCGCACCTCAAACTTAGTATAGTGACCAGTGTGCCCTGCTGTCTGCAGACTCATGCTGTGTGCAGTGTAAAATCTGATCACAGTTGCTCACAGTATGATAGAAAAAGGCTAATTATTGCCTGACGTCTTATTAAAATGAAAACAGTTTGGTTTGCTGCCACTACAACTCTGTGACCTGTAGTATTAAAAAGCATTAGCTGTTGCCTCCAATTATACAGGTGTCTCCAAGTCAACCAGGACTGAAATCTGTTTTTCAAACATCAGAGTACAGTAGCATGCTTAAAAAATGCTTCATTGAGTAAAATGTCAGTCTTGCATCAACATGAATTGAATATGATACGTGCCGTTCCCCTATGCAACTCTCCCTCTCTTGGGCTGTAAGCATCAGTGAGTTGTGTAAATGACCCGTGCTTCTTTAGCTGTTCCAGCTCTTATTTGCGAGGCAGATGCAGCTCTGCACGAAGCTATAGAAGCAGCCAAGGAGAGCAAGCCATTACTGTCAGGCTCGCTGCCGAGTCATGAGCTGACCTAAGCTGCTTTCCAGGCATACCGTTCACTACCCTCGGCAGACAGAGTGTATAATGCGCTGCAGGAGTCATGACTCCTGTCATCTCTCAGCCCGACTTCCCTCTGTTGAATTTAACATCGTTGCTGACATTCGTTCTCTAGTATCCTGTCTACTTCCGTCATCATTTGTCCAGTGTTTCCTGTTGGTCTTCCTGTGTTCATTGTAACTGCTATGCCCCTTTGCTTCCTCTACTGACTCTCACTAGTTCTGTTTTTTAACCCCCCCACCCCCACCCCTTCACACCCTGTGGATTGTACTTCTGCTTTTGCCATTCCTCTCCTGCCTGTCCTTGAAAGTGACCCCGAGAGCAAGAGATTTTCTCTCAGATGAAGGGAAATGGTACATAATTGAATGATGTAAATGGCTTCAGTGCGTTGTAGAACCAGCTCTCAGTACTGTCAGTCTGGAAGTTCAAGGACAAAAAGCAAACTGTAGTAGAGATCAGACTTAAATGTTAATGTAGAACAGGATGATTCAATTACTTTACAGTGTATAGGGATCACATTATGACATTGAATTTGACAGAGGTACCATGCATTTTTTTACTACAGATTTTAATCCAAACTCTTTTGCTTGCACAAGACATGAATTTTTACTGAAATAATTTGTTGATTAGCTGTTACCTCAAGTGTTAATGTACTCTTACGACACTGATTATCCTCACCAAGTGACTACAAATCCTCACGTGCATGTGTGTGTTTGTCAGAATCCAACTTGGCGGAGTCTGGACTTTGGCATGCTGCCGGACCTTCTGGACACCTCAGTGTCTTGCTTCGTGGTGAGGATCTGGGGAGGACAGGAGGAGCAGTACCAGCTCCTTATAGAATGGAAGGTCAACCTGGATGGCCTCAGATACACAGGACAGCAGGTCAGCAACCGTGCACATAATAATTATAGAAAACTTCATGTGTCACAATGATCCCAGTGTGGTAGGGACTGCATGCAGGCAACAAAGGGATACATACAGTGAGTGCAAACCTGTGAATACAGATTTAATTTGCAAACACAGTCTAAAAGGCACATGTAGTATCTGATGAAAACTGAAGTGTTTTACTATCTAAAAAAAAACTATCTTAAAGGAGAAGTGTGCAGAATTTAGTGGCATCTACTGGGGAGGATTGTGCATTGCAATCAGTTTAAACTTTTCCCATGTTCCAGGTTAGGGTTCCTTTGGTGTTCACTGTATAGGAGGTTTTTAGCTGGAGCTGAATTCGCCGCAGAGGTCTCTTCCTCTCCAAAACAAACGGACCTGGTGATTTAAACAAAGCAAAAGCAATGTCACATTAAGAATAGGTGTTTTCCCAATGCTGTTCAGCTCATCATGGATGGGCTGCAAACTACTGTAGCTGACGCGAAAATGTGAAACACTCGAATAGCTCTATCTAGAGCCAGTGTTTAGTTTGTCCATTCTTGGTGTATTCTAGCAACACGGCGGCCTTTGTGGACGAGAACCATCCCCCTATGTAGATTCACAGCTCATTTTAAGGTAACTTAAACATTCTGATTCTTATTTTTAGTTGATTACACACTAAAGAAAACATACTTATAATATTATATTCTATTTCTGCTAATACATCCCTCTAAATTCTACACACTGGACTTTTAAATCCAAACTTATAAGGCCTTTTTCGGTCATTTACAGGCATTTTACTGTATTTTTCCGAATTGAATTTCATCAAAAATGCGCCAAAGCAATAGTAGTTTTTGCCTCAAAATCAAACATGGCGCATAAAAAGAACATCTGTGCAAGTTCATCAGAGCATCGGGACATTATTCATGTTTATCTCTAAATTTTAATCATTGTTGCATTTTGGAACAATAGCAGGGTTAAAGATAAACTGTTGCAATACTGCTCGCCAGGGCAATGATGTTAAAATGAGAAAAAATGTTTGCAAACACACATTGCTTTGATTCAGTGATCCTAGCAGGAATGAAACAGATACCAGTTTCGCAATAAACCACAATAAAATTCCAGACGGTTAGTATTACCATGTCAAATTTGATTTATTATTGAAACAGTGTTTTGTTAAACTCAGGGTAAATACTGTCCAGCATCAACCAAAGTTAGTCTCCAAGACGCAGGTGTAGCGTGCAACCGAGTGGCGCCACTGGTCCCTTGTCCTTACCTACACACACCGGAGCAAGCATTTCAAAGACAGGCTATCTGTAATGTTTTTTATTTATACTTTTTATTTTACATTTAGGAACAAAAGAAAAGAAAGAGAAAAAAAGGAAAACAGTATACAGGAAAAAAAAGACAAATATGAGGTCATGGGATGTAAGACATAACAAATTTTCAGAATTTCAAGTAAAGTTTCATTTAAGGTACATGCGATAATCATGTGACATCTCCACTCCACCGTTTTTCTCCCAATTCTTTCTGAAGTCGTATAAGATATATGTCATTTGTTCCAGAAGTTTTAAGTGTTTAACAGTATTAATAAAGACGCTAGCAGTGGGGCAGTTTTTCTGGAGCCAGTATGCCATATGTCCGAGAAAAGGGATGTGAATGTTGGACTAATACTAAAATTTGAAGTTTTTGTAATTATTGCTGCTACTGCCTTCCAGAAAGTCTGAATAAAGGACAAAACTAGAATATATCCAATAATATTGGCATGGTCAACCATGATTTCTCCACATGCAGGCTATCTCTATCTTGAGATATTTTCTGCACATTTGAACAATAATGTGATAATACTGGTCACCATAATTGTGAAGTTAGATTTTCATACTGTTTCATCTCTAACACTTAGTAACAAGCACTGAAACTTGTGCTAATGTGAGGTGACTGTTATGTGAGGACTGAACAAGTGCCAAGTCATATTGGCAGTTTTGCACACTGAAACTATTCGGTAAAAATGACCCGAAGCAACCGCAAAACACAGTAAAAGAACTCAATGTTATTGTCATTCTTTCACAGTGGGACTCCTTTTAAAGGTCGTAAACAGATAGCGCAACCTCATGCACAGCCAGATGCCCGCTGTCCTTTGTTCTCTGCATGTCAGTTCCCACAATAAGCCTCTCTTGCCTCTCTATATCCACAGATTCGATCCAGGAATCCGAATGAGATAATATTTGGATTGAATGATGGCTACTATGCAGCTGACTTTGATCATAAGGTAAAAAAAGAAGCCTTTTGTCAATTCTGTCCAGAGCTTATGAATCATAATGGAATACCCAGTCCTGTCTCATTAGTTTTATTTGGACGCTGTTTGGCATCAGCACTGAAACACTCACATGTGGCTGTTTGCAGGATCAGTCGGAGCGGAAGAAAAAGCTTCAGGTCGACCAGAGTTCAGTCAGGAACTCCTACAGTGTTTTCTCTTTGCTCAGGTAGGACTCATGCCATGAGGCAGTATTACATCATATCATCACATCAGTAGGACTCCACTTTAATCGGATGTATTGCTGCAACCTTTTCTCTCATGTGCAGTGGATTTCAACTACTGACAATATTTACTTTAACCCACAAAAAGTATCCCTCAGGTAGACCTTTTATTCACCCTTTTTTTGCATAGTTGGTGATGTGACAAAACTTCTGTTATATGTCACATCACCAACTATGCAAAATAAAGGGTGAATAGTTGGTGATGTGACTAAACTTCTGTTATATGTGTTCCATATTTGTTCTTGGCATTAGTATTCCAGCAGGTGGTGCTATAGGAAAGCTGACAGTTTGACCTGTTATCTGGGCAGCTCTTCTGGGGCCTCATTACAGAGAAATATCGAAACTGCTTTTCCATTTTAAGTTTCAAGGATAGAAATGATCCCATCTGTCCATTGCAAAATTTCTTAAACTGATGGTTGAGTCGTATCCTATCACAGACCTCCTGTCTAACCAAGCTAAAAGACAACAACTATAACTGTAAATTTGATTCTTTAGTTGGCACTCAACCTGTCCTGCCTGTATCTATGTTTAGAAGGTTTTAGCTGTGAGGAATCAGAGGCACAAATCAAAACTTAAAAATAATATGATCACTAATTTCTATAAATTCAAAATGAATCATCTTAGCAGTAGATAAACACCCATTAATACATGGTCGGGGAAATTTAAAGTGCAGTCATACAGCTTAAGTAGCCTTTCAGTCATTATATTTCAATGTTTTTGTTGTTCCCCATCTTCAGCGCTGCTGCTACCAAATTAGGATGATTCTGTTACAGCTTAATTCCTATCTTAAGATAAGAAAAGATTTCCTCCCAAATGCAGTCAGGAAACATTTTTCTGAACTGAGGATGTGCCGTCTTTTAAGACCTGGTTGGTTGTTAGAAATCCCCAACTTGTTACACATGCAGAGAGTTAAATTTTGTGTTTCCCTCGGCTCTGTAACCTTCCATGAAACATGGCAGCCATTCATGTACTATTTATGGAGAATGGCCTAAAGTGTTTGCATGTATGTAAAGATACTTGTTCATAATAGGTTAGACAAACAACATTTGTGTACTCGCACTATATGCATATGTACAGACATCCATTCTGTAGTTGGTGCTGAACGTCTTGCTGGTCATGTGGGTGACTTGTAATTGTGTTGTTTCGTTAAAATCTGAAAATCTACAAATAGAGTGTTAAAAAAGGAAACATTTGTGTATACCAAAAATCCTAAATGTCAAGATTAAGATAGGATGTCAGACTCAGGAAGTTTCTGTAATGAGGCCCCTGACCTTCAACGTTATAGACAGTCAAAAAGTCTTTAGTTTACACCAGGAATACTCAACTTGCTTTTGATGAGGGCTCCATTTTTGCTAAACGACACGATGCTAAGGGCACGATGCCAACAATGGCCAAATGGTTAATGGGCCACCCAGCACCCTATTGTGTCGTAAGTATCACTGGTCTAGGCTGTATTGTTGGGAATTATTGGACAAATGTATTAACATTTTAAGCTGTCTAACCCAATGAAAGCACCTGATCATTAGACCAAAGACAGACTCTGTTTTGTGATTAGAATTTAAGCTCCAACTGATGAAAATGGTTGCAGTACAACTTCCCACCACAAGAGGGAGACAGAGATTTGCTGAGGAAGTTGCTTGTTAGAGGGGGAACCCTGGTGCAGTAATTAAGAACTTTAGACGACACAAGGCAGCTCTGGCATCTGTTGACAAACATGGCCTTGTTGTTCCACGTTTATATTTAAATGTGGTAGAATGTAAACACTACCTCCAGCATCACCAGGGCTTCCCCAGAGGGAAACCCTGTGATCATAGTCTTATCACATAACAACATAATTACTCCCAGTTTTCACTAAATAAATGTATATCTGGAAAGTTTGACGTTTCCAAAATAAGATAAGGATCCTGTCATTACGAGGAGTATGAAGGCAACCACCGACATTTTCCTACTATAAGAATTAAATAGGGGGACGTAATTGCGTCACGAGCCTTCGCAGTATCAACGGAAAGGAGTTATGCCAAAGCCCGCTGAACTTAACCAGCGCTCCCTCATCTAGAAGTGGTCATGGTTTATGTTTATAAGAGGGGATACCATTGCCTCCCCAGCAGCTCACAGGAGAAAAAGCCCAGTTTGAATCATAACTTTTATGACCTCTACTCTCGCTCCTTTTATTATTGCAGCTTTCTTCCACATCCTCTTCTTCTATCCACACCCAGTGGGACTCTGCGGAGTTTAACACAGTTACATTGATCCCCCTCTTCCCACACACTGGTCTGCCTGCAGCTCCTCACCCCTGTCAGAGTTTTTCCTTGGCTCAGTGCACTCATATGCACATAGTTTATGATTATGTACTGTAGAATGATTCATCAGATACTGTACACTCCAAAAGGGATTATCCTCCCACCCCCCATGGTACAAAACCATATATACCACTCAGATTCTGACCTGCTGAGCGCTGCCTTTTTCAAAGTGTATTAACTTTCTGAAGCACTCAGGTGGAGTTTCGCTCCTGGAGCCGTGCTTAGTGCTGAAATCTGTGCTAGTGTTATTGGCTCACCTACATGGTTGCGTGCAGTGATAAATGATTTATAGCAGCCACGTTTGTGTGCCCCAGATGCTGCACCATGCATTGACTTTTTTATCATGTAATCGAGAGAAAAGGGGAGTTTTCTTGTGGTCCTCTAGTTTTTATTGTGCCTCATCCAGAGAATAAAGTCTTTTTTTGATGTATGTCCACAAGGGACATCCACAGTGACAGATATTCTCACCCAACTCTCTCCCACTCCCTCCCTTGGCCAGGTGCAAAGCGTCTCTCTCAGTGCAGTACTTTAATGGAAAAGGATGAGAGCTGCTTTGCTGAGAACGCACTAGTCTTGATTAATGATGGCAATTTGTCAGCAGATTCACAGTCTGCTTTTCAGCCCGGCCTCGGCTGACAACACCCATCGTCTGTGTGAGTAACATGGTGATGTGGGCTCGCAAACACAACACGTCTCAGATGGAGAGATGAAGAGGGAGACTACAGGTCATCAATCAGCAAAGTCTTGTCTCTTCCAGAGAGTCCAGGCTGAGGTAGAAGCTGAGACACATCCTACACAGAGCTGGGCCCCAGGCTGGGTAGAAAGAAAGCCAAGGAGACAGTGACGAAGATGATCCAGCTGCTCATAAAGCTTTTTTTGTAGACACTTAAAGGGAAACTTAGGTATTTTGAAAATGGACTCTATTTTCTCACCAAGAGACTAATGGAGACAACATTTTTTGCGGTAGTCCAGTATTGAGAGAGAGAGTGAAACAGGCTGCAGTGTAATCCCTACGGACAATTGGGCACTGTCAGTTTACATCTACTAAAAGTGATTGTTTTTGCCACTGTTGGGCTCAGATTGTTGATGTAAAAAAAATTTTATCACTGGTCCGGTCTGTTTCTTAGTAAGTGTAACCATGTCTCGCTTAAAGAGAAGTCTCTGTACTCTTACATACTTTTCCACATTGTCGAAATTGGCTAAATATTTAGCCATGACATCTTTAAATATGATTCTTTGATGTGCTCCAACACAACACACTCCTCCCAGAACTCCTCTCTTCAGCTCTCACTAACGTTTCCCCTGTTGTTTTTCCTGTAACAATTCAACTCTCATGAGATTTCAGAATGAGATTTCTCCTTAAGTGAGAATTGGTTACAGACCAGGTCAGTGAATGTGAGGAAATATGTTTCATTTCTCTGTAGGATCCTTTTCATGATGTTGTCGGACACTTACAATAACAATCCGATCCTGTCAGTGGCAAGAACAAACACTTTTAATGGACGGTGCACAATGATTTTTCCGTCTGTTTCACCACTTGGGCAATGGCGGTCTCTCTCAGTACTAGTGGACCAATCTCAAAAATTGTTCTCTCAATCAACTCAAGCACAAAAACTGGGTCCAAGTTGAAAAATACCAAAGTTTCCCTTTAATAAAGGCGCAGACGTGACCTCTAAAGCAGTGGGTCCCAACTGGACAAGCCTTGGGGTCCAGATTTCTCCTTAGTCATTAGTTTGAGGTCCCACAGTTTAATACATTCAGTGTCATACTTGAGTTTGGTCATGCCGTTGGGCTACTTACCTGTCCATGTCAAGTAGCTGTCAGTTATTCATTCACTCTACAGCAGAAAATGGCACTTAAAAATAAAAGCCCTATTCCGGAAACTTACTGTGCTTAAAAAGTAAAGTAGTGGATTTTTTTACCAACTTGACACACTTTTAAGTCATTTGCGGTCCATTAAGAATGGGTTCGCGGCCCACTTTTGGACCATGACCCACCAATTGGAAACCACTGCTTAAAAGTGTGCTCATCTGTCAGGGAAAGGTATGATGTTTGAGCTTTAAGAGAGGAAGAAAGACCTACTGTCATCACAACCCTGAGCTGCATATTGGACTAGTTGGATGTTAACAAAAAGGAGAGGCAGAAAGAGTGACGGATTGGTTTATTGTTCCATTTTATAATGGTTAGAGGCCATCTTTTTATGGCCTAATACGCTCTTGACTGTCACATTGAAGTAGTGTGTAAGAGGAAGTACTTGAGTGGCCTCTCAGCTCTGACTCACAGCTCTCTGAAAGAGTTATGCATGTAGATATTAAATCGTGTTTATAGTGACAACAAAACTATTGTAGATGCTTGATGTTGAAGTTTCAGGTTTATGGTAACAGTGGCCCGTGTGCCACATGGTTAGCATCATTCTCAGGGCACAACTTTCACAGTTCAGCACTGTGACATTGCAGATTAAACCTGTCTCAAATTCCTGGAGCCTAAAGGGGAAACTCCCCCCCCCCCCAATGATCAGAGCCATATGTTGCCCGTGTTTCCTGATTTGCTTTTGTGTGCCCCGATGAGGAGTATGCGTGTATGTACAGTATGTGTCAACAGAAGCAGTGCACAGTGATGGTGATGCTCTGTGGGGGGTCTCTCATGCCACAGAGGCTGCGGAGGTGTAAATGCTACCCCTGCAGGCAGCCCTTGAGGTGTATTCATCTGATGCTGCAGCCGTGGGACGTTGTTGTGGTCCTGAGTTAACGCGGCAGTTGGATCGCCCTCTACAGCTGACCCTTGGGTCTCAACCGGCAGCAACCAGACTACAGAAACAAACTGACTGCCTGAGCTTTAAATCACCTTGGATATATGGATGAAGATGCTCTTGTTTTCATTTCACACCTCTGGAGTGGACTTAGCCAGAATCAAAGCAACTCCCATACACATAATTTAAGAGGAGGTTTAAGGTTGTTTTTTCAGTTTAGGCAGTTGGCCCGCAACACCCATCCTAGTATTTGCCAAACTGTCCGCCCTCCAATTTTTTAACACATTTTTTCAATTTGAGATTACTTTCTCCGAAGGCTAAGACCTCAGGCGTGTATTTTTTCCAGCTTTCCTGACTTCCATTCTCAGCACCTGTCCAATTCTTCCTTGTTCTCCTATTTTTCTCCCAGTCTTTCCAGCATTACAGCTTCTTTAGTGCTTGCCTAGCAGAGCTGTCTGTTGTTATCTCAGCGTGTTGATGTAGTGTTCATTACTCCCACCTCTAAAATTATGTCCCAATTTACAGCTACTGAGCCTTAGCCTCCCTTTGTGTTTTCTGGCTTACCAAACAAAAGACAGTAGGCCTCAACTAATAAAATTTATGTGAGATTTTTGGACATGGAACACAATTTGTAGCTAAGCCTTTTCATTGTGTAGTATTTGGCTTATTCCACCAGGCAGCTTAAGTAACCGTGACTAACAGTTTGAGATTTTCAGTGTAAGACAAAGGCAAGGAGCTTACACTCATGACTGAGGATCCGAACTTCTATAATTATCTGCACAGTGTGTGACCCATTTTTGACCCTTTCCGGACCAAAATATCTTTTCCTAAGATCTCTTTGGCTTCCTCGCACCTCTGTTGTCATGTAACATAGCTTATAGCAACTCAGCAAACATCAGACTGGAGGAATAGAAGAGCATATGCAGACTTGATAAACAAACTCCAGTAATCTTATCATCCCTTCCCTGAAAATGGAGACAATGGTAAAGTGAGGTGAACAACACGTGGTTAAATGTGTTGACATTCTTTGGCAATGAGATACAGGCGGAATTTAGAAGTTTTGTTTGTTGTGATTTTCCCACTGTGTTGCTGTCTGTTTTGTCCGTGGCAAAGGTGTGATAGTGGGACATTATCCTCAATTTGTTGTCATAAAATGTCTCAGAGCTTGTTTTGATTAGCTTAATTGGCTGCCCTGTTCACTTGAAAAATGGCTGCTGCTGGAAATGAATTCAGAACAGTCATTAGTCCTCAGGCTTATTTCCTCTGACCCAAGTTTGTTTGACATGTGCACTGGGCACACTTTCATGTGATGAACAGCTGGGGGACTGGTCAGGCCACATGATGTTCAGTACATTTAAAACACTGCTTTGGAAAGGGGAAGCAGCCATTGTACTTTTGTGTTGAGTTTGAGTAGATTTGATTGCTCATTTCAGATAGGAGGCCATTATTACGTGGCTGGTTGGCTATATCCTACCTGTTTCCTCCACTTCCGTCCCTCCTCTTATTTTTCACACTCCAACAGTTTTTGAGTTGAGTCAAAATATTTCTATGGAACAAAAAGCACGTCAGACGGACTTCCAGCTGTCCGTGTGTCTGTCACCCTAATGTTTGAGGTATGTCCCGCACCGTTGGCACTAGTTGGCCCTTGTTGGCAGCTTACCGGCTGATTCAGCAATCGGTGACGGAGCTGGCGGAGCCCGTTGGCTAGAGAAGTCCCTCTGATTGGCAGTTCAGCTCAGTGCACGAGAAGAGAAATGGAAGTGAGGAAAGTAAACAAAATCAAGAGGGCATGTGATCAAAACAAATCTGTTATTTTAGATGAGATATATTTTTCTTTAGCCAGTGAGCTCTTTAACAGTAACGGTTCGTAATTGTTTATGTTATTGTTCACTAGCGCATGATAAATATCATTTGTTTCAATATCAGTTCATGTTGTTAATGTGCTAACTGGCTAACTAGCAACTTGAATTTGTCCTGTTGGTCGTTCAGTTTCCCTTTTTGACTGATTAATACAAACTGCCACCACCTGCTGATGTGGAGAGTTATTTACTTCAACACAGGACATACATGCTAGTTGACCATTGGCTGTAGTGTTTGCATTGTATTCAAGTCCAACTTTTTGGCTGAGACAAAGGCGAAATGAGGTGATGCGACAGTCTGCCTTCGACACTGGTTCTTTGATGTTGGTTTGAAAGATTGTCTGCAAAGAGGAAAGACCAAAAGATTTGACGCAGTCAGTTAGCCTTATTCGTAGTGATGTTAAATAGCATCTCGATATTCAGACCTCCCTGTTCAGCAAACAGTGTTACATAAGGCCTACTCAATGTTCCCCCTTAGTTTTTCTCAGAATAGCAACAGTTTATTCTCTGGTGTCTTCTTTAGATCCCAGGTCTTTCTCTGGCTTATCTTTGTGAGCCAGATGACACATCTGCATTTGCCGATTCCTTTCCTTTCAGTCCTGATTGCAAAATTGCTGGACCAGAACACGATGTGTAAACCATGACAAATATTTATTTCAAGGTAATCAGTAAAGGTAAATGAACAGAAAACAGGAGACTTGGGTCAGAGAGGCTGCCAGGTCTGCTGCCCTTCCAACTGCGCTGAAAGGTCTTTAGAAAAGATGGAAGGTCATCAGTTTCATCCATTGTCATTTACTTGATTACCAGCCAAGACCTTCTCTTGACGTCCCTGGTCCACATTCGTTTTACGTCAAGGATCAGTGTCGCAGCTGATGTGATCCCATCGTACGATGATCTTTAGTTGTAATTCTTGACATTTACCATTTTTGCTCATTATTTTTACTCTACCTAAAAGCCTGTATTAAAGATTTTGTACAAGATGCCCTCTGTTTATCAGAAATCTGGAAGTTTCAAAAACACAAGTTTCATCTGACACCCCAGCAGGATCTAGTGGCATGGTCAAAGCAGAAAATGTTATTGTTTTTGTGATGTTTATCGACATCAAGGGTTGAGTGCACATGCTCAGTCAAAACTTCCTGTAGACTGCCTGTGGCAGAATTGTAAGTCACCTTGAATTCCTTGGACAAGGAAAGTTGTCTTGGCTCATGAGAAGGCGTTCTCTGGACAGTCGCACACTGTTAAATCTGATGTCCAAATCTGCCCCAGTGTGGTTGTACGGTGAGAAGCCCTCCGTTCCCTCTTGGTATAAAGGTTGTGATAGAGCCTGATGGGCAGGTGTTAGGCCACGACTCAGGGAATGATAAGAGGGCAGACATGCGTGAAAAGCAGAGAGGAGATAGCTGTTCTCACCTGGGGGAAAAGACCCTATCAGATTCTGCCATCGCAATCACCTAAACAGATGAAGCTGTCAAAACAGATTTACCCTGATGTTCCAAAGGACTATCTCCAACTGCTATCGCTGTCACCTGAGACAGATTAAAAAATGTGTGCCGAAAACATGCAATGATTTTCCCGTAGGACTCCTCCCCAAAGCTCTGTTTACATCGTCATAGAAACATTTTTTGTTCCCGGTTGGTTGCCAAGAAGAGGCAATAATATCCAGAGTCGACTGTGTGAGTTTCATGACAAAAAAGCCCCCGAGGATTTGTAAAATGACCCCACCAAGCTGGAACCCTGTTAGAAAGAGCCTCTTACACTAAACCCACTCAAGAGGCAATTTCTTGAAGACTCAAAGCAAGTGCATACCTAAGGAAAGCCCTATTCACGTCACCCTCATGACTCAAACCACAGGGCTAGGGCTACTAGGAGTGAAAGAAACATGCTATCAAGAAGAGCTATTTACATCTTAATGTTGGCTCCAGATCGTTGACCCGTTCTGTATCCATCATGAAAGAAATGTAATCATTACTGTGCAATCCAGTTTTCATGGCACATGAATGGCATTGAGACATTTAGCAAGAAGTGGATGATCTAACCTCAGTCTGACAGTATGATTTTAAATTGCCAGATCCACCGTTTGTCTGTCCTCTGTAACTCATTCCCAACATGTGGGCATGTCGTCCATAGTTTATTGTTGACGTCCCTTTGGTTGTGTTGCAGGGGCGGTTTGTCTGTCTTTCTATGGGCTCTGGACTTGAAGAAAACATCCTTGGAAGTTAATTGACCCTGTGATTGATGGTCTAAATAATGCGCTGGCTTGTCTTTTGTGTCCTTGAACAGATGGGTTCAGGTCTATCAGACAACGTTTGATCTCATATTGTGGTTAGATTATTAGGAATTACTTATTGATTGATTCAACTTTTGTTGTGGTATTCATGGTTTGTGGTGTTTAAGAATGTGATCAGTCTGGTCAAATGAACTGTAGACTTTTATTATTAGGAATGTTCTCAGTATTGTTTTTGTCCTTTGTATTAATGTCCAAACTTGTCATTAACTTCAACAGTTTATAAGAATCAGCAGTTGGGCTGGAACAATGATGATCAGCGTCAGTAAATCAGAAAAAGACACAAGGAGGGATAACAAACACACTGCACAATGACTCTTCCACATGGGGACAATCATGATTCTTACGATGTCCGCCAAACAGACACAATACAGTAAACATCCAAGTCAAATGAAATGATTTGCTGGTGTAGTCATAACACTGACACAGTCAATTTAATGGCCACTTGGAAATGCATTTTCAACATGCGGTTGTTCTTGTGGTCCAATATGTGGTTACGGACGGTGATCCGGATGGTGACTTTGTCTTCTTCTTCCTCAACTGCAGGCTTCACACAGCCCAGAGAGCCATTAAGCAGACCCAAGTGACAGTCCAGAAGATTGGGAAGGAGATCGAAGAGAAGCTGAGGACGACGGCGACCTGCACAGAACGGGTGAGAGCTGTCACCCATCAGCAGCAAATTTTCGCTCATCAGCAACATGCTTTTAAGTCAGCAGCAGTGTTTAAGCCACTTATTTATTGTTCTTCTAGAGTTGTTGCAGTTTTGTACTCTTAATTTGATTTGATTTTTATTCAACACTTTGTGAAGGCAATTGACAGATTTAATTACATCTAGTTTTAATATTTAGTTAAGTTTTAGTCAACTGTTACAACCCTTGTTTCATTATCTATTATCTTATGTGATGTCAGCACGAGTGGAATTTCATGTGTTAAGAAAATGTATTAAGATGAGGTGCAGTTTAAGATTTGGTGTTTTCTTGAGGGAGCAGCAATCGCTGTGATCAGCAGGAACAGGCCTATTGGCTTCGGCGCTAACAACAAACACCAGCAGTGCTGCACTAAATACTTGGGAGCAGTAAGCAGTGAGATTTGAGAGCTTGTATCACCCAAATCCCCAGGCGTAATTGTAATGTAAAGTAATGTGAGATGTAATTATACCCTTTGGGTAGCTTTGGTATCTTTCTATTTTGATGGCTCAACTGAAAAATGAAGAGAGCAATATCCCGTCGGCCTAGATGATAACACTGACCAAAATCCACTGTTTATGTTTTCACCTCCTGTCATATCCTCGGCTAGGATCCACAGCAAAAGCAAGAAAGCATATTTAACATTTTTGGAATTGGCAGCCACACAGCTGTGAAAACGGAGCACTGATCCCAGGTTTGACATTGTGTTTATTGTAAACATTCACTTCAAAAGCATCCCGTCTCTTCTGCTGTTATAAAAGCCCCGAGGCAGTGACACTTTGGTGTTCTCATCCTCCAGGTCGACTTGGCTTTGGAAAAAGTGCAGCTGGGATATTTTTGTGTTCACCCAGCGCTTCATACATACAAGACATACATACATAGAAATAAAATGTATAGAAAGGACATTGAACTGTCTGCTGTGGTCAGACTAGTTCAAAAGGCAGTAGTGATTCTTGTTAGTTGTCATGGTGACAACACGTCAGTGGGTCGTAAAGTGTGTCACACACTAGTTAGAGAACTCTGTTTTGGCCTATTCTTACACATATTTCCTGTATTAAACAGAAAAATTAACCATTCACCAATCGTTGCCTTGTTAACTTATTGTAAAAGACACTTCATTTAAACTCGACAGAAAAAAAACCTCACCAAAACTGTCAAAGTTAGTCATTATTCCACTGTTCCGACAACCACCAGCTCTGGTTTAGGTGAGATAAATACTTAATTCACAGAGTTAGGCCCTATTTTACGGGACTAGTATTACCTGGGGACCTCATGCGATTTAGAAATTACCCCCCTACGTCTGTGCTTTGTGCTGCGCATTCACTTGGGATGAGCACAACACAAAAAGACTACACAGCACACCTAACTAGAGGTCAACCGAAGAGGTAAAGCTGTCTTACATTAGTTAACTTAATTTAAATCATACAAATTATCTAAAGCACACATTACCTTGTATTTGCATGTGGGTTACTACATGCAAAAGCCTTACGGTCGTACCCATGTGACAAGTGGAGATTACGGCTATCAGCCACTATCGGAGCCTGTTCCACCATTAACAATAGTTTATATATCAAATCCTGTCAGAGCTGATTAATTGGCCAAATGGATGAATCGGTCGACCTAACGCTAATTTAGGGGGTTAATCTCCTTTTTTCTTTTAAATGTATGTTAAACAAACAGAAATGATTTAACCACATGTTATCGAATGTCATCCATCGCATCATCTTTTGAGATTTTACTCTTTCTGATAGATTTGAGCTTGATTTTTCTGCAAACGGGGCTCCATGCTGTGTGGCTAGATGAGCCCCCTACACCCAAAATGCTGTTTATGATTGCTTACCAAGCATCTGTAATTCTTGATGGGGAAAGAGGCAGAAACGAGGTGCAGAGAAAATAGAAAACCCAAATACGACCCCGAATCACTGAGATGCCAGTTCGAACATGACTGTTATCTTACGACCTCTGTGTTTGGCGAATATGGTAGAAAATTTAAGGCGGAATTCTCACGTGAAAAATAAATTTGCACACGGTTAAGAACACAGATGACCTCCCCAATTATTAGAAATTACCAGAGGTCCCTAGGTAATACTGGTCCCGTGCGAACAAGGCTGTAGATGTAAAAATATGCTGCTCTGCACGCTGTTAAGTTTCTCTTTGCATCTTATATGGAACTTAGCCCACTACAACAGTTGCAGTGGCAGTGGTACACATAAAAATGGCTGCTGCTGTAACCATTCTGCCACACTGAATTGAATGGGAATGTCAACTCTGACACTATTTTTATGGTTTCAAATCTACAGGAGACTGTGTGTTTTATGTGTGTCTGCACAGACACCAATTTAAAGGCTCTGAATGCCTCTTTACAGTGCCTCTTTAGACAGCTGTTACAGCTGTTGCTTTCCATCATGCGCTCATCGGCTTTTGATATGGCTCATTGTATTGTTCCTTTCCCCAGACCTTCACCCTACCTAAAGTGGCTCCACTATAGCCCTTTCAAGCCTTCCCGCAAAAACATTGAGGCTCCATTCTTTTGCCACAAAGGATCCCTTTCAAAAACTTGTCTCAGATATTTCCCCCTCAGTCAAACATTCCTCAAAACCCTTTTCAGAGCTCACATCAGCTAATAAATCACATAATCCTCGTCCTCTACCTTTCCGTTAAAAAAATCCCAGCAAGAGTGAGTGGAGCATTGTGTGGCTCTTCTAAGGGTTTCCCTCTTTGCCTTTGGAGAGCTCAGTACTATCCTTCTGTGCGCGTCATAGTGAGCACGGATCAAAGGGGGACAGAGTGGAGGCCACCAGCCCAAGCGCATGGCCCTTTCGCCCTCTCACCCACACTCTGCCATTAATCTGCTGGGTTATAACGCGCTCCCCCCACGCCTGCTGCTTATTTACTCAGCTGACCCACTGCTGTTTGATGTTATGTTCAATTGGAGTCAGACGGGTCCTGGTGGTCGGTTACAGTCTCACACACACACCGACATGTTTTTGACCCACTTTGTCAACTGCGTCGCTCAGTGAAAGTGTAGGAGGTTCACAGTTCGTGCCAAAGCCAGTGGTGGTTAACATGCAAGCATCAGGAGAAGCATCGGAGAGATGGAGGCTCTATCAGTCTTCTCTCAGCGACTGATACCCCTCTCTGTTTTTGCAGCAAAGCCCTCAGAAGTCTTCAACAAGAAGCATATCTGTGTTTCCTCTGATCCAGGCCCTGATCACTATCTAAATGTATGTGTGTGTGATACCACAGTCCCTGCTCGCAAACTTCAGGATGAATAACAAGGCTGAATCTCTGTTATCCTGCCAGCAAGCTCTCTCCCTCCCAACTCTTCATTATCCATGTCATTCTCTGCTGAATCTCCATCCACGTAGTCCCTAGGCGTCACCTCTTAAATCTCTCTGTGCATGTTTTGAAGTTGCGTGGAATCTGTTCGTCCCAACTTACCATTTTTCATTGTAAGTTTCTGTTAACCTAAAATCTCTCCCCTTCATCTACTGTGTACCATATCCACATCACTCCATGTATCCTTAGTGCTGTTCCTCATTAGATGGTTAGCCCACTGCAGGCTCCACCTCTACCAGATAGAGACGTGAAGCCCAATGAAGGGACACCCAATAGAGAGGGCAGGATGTTAACTAATGACTAGACCCTGTTGCTGCTGCTGAGTGAGAGACACACCAGTTAACGGGCTCTGATTATGTCCACACCTGCAGCCTGCTTCACTGGTGTTCCTACATAAACCATATTAAACCTATATTTTTGATGCTGAAATGCATCTACTGGTTGGAGAGTGATTAATTAAACCGTTACTTTGCTGATTTTCAACCAGCTTTGTATCACAACAATGAGCGTAATATGTGTTAATTAATTATAGTAAACTGTCCTCGATCTTACCAGCACCCAGATCTCCCCGCTCAAATCTTCATTTGGCAAATCTTCACTTCTCTCAGGCTGTTGCTCGAACTACAGATTGTACTTCTGCATTTTTGTATTGCTCAACCACCCTGGAATAGAAAGGTTACAGAAGCAGATCAAGAGAGAGATCTGCCCCTCACGCTGTCTCTCAAATGCAGATGAAACTGAGATCAAATGGTAAAACTAGACAGTGCTGAGTATGGGTGTGCGATATGGTCCTTAAATAATATCACAATATTTCAGGGTATTTTTGTGAGAACTGTATTCTTGACGATAGGACAAATTCGTAAAAAAAAAACCCCCACAAACAAACAAAATAAAATAAAAACACACAAATATATGTATGTGTATGTGTATATATATACATTGTGATATATCATTAATTTTCGGACTGTAAAAGTGTAGCTNAAGATGATAGAATTGCAACAAAATAAGAGATATAGTTTTACAGTTTGCCTTCAAATATTCAGTAAAACTAAAATGATCTGTCATTTCTTTAGTTTGTGAACAACAATAGTAACTTGAAGTGAGATTCAGTCACTAAAAGAGTCTGAGTCTGAGAAGTCCGGGGCTGTTCATAAAACATTTCTTGCCTAAAATGTTTTCAGAAACATATTTTAGCTTACTGTTTAGAAGCCATAGTCGGCGGCACGGTGGTGCAGTGGTTAGCATTGTTGCCTCACAGCAAGAGGGTTCCTGATTCGAACCCAGGGTGGAGGTTTCTGTGTGGAGTTTGCATGTTCTCCCTGTGTCAGCGTGGGTTTTCTCTGGGTACTCCAGCTTCCTCCCACAGTCCAAAGACATGCAGGTTAATTGGTGACTCTAAATTGTCCGTAGGTGTGAATGTGAGTGTGAATGGTTGTCTGTTTCTATGTGTCAGCCCTGTGATAGTCTGATGACCTGTCCAGGGTGTACCCCGCCTCTCACCCAATGTCAGCTGGGATAGGCTCCAGCCCCCCCTGCGAGTTACGAACATGGATCGATGTGTAAACATAGACTGAAAAAAAGTGAGATCAAACAGTGAAACTAAGCAGTGCTGATCAAATATGAACCAAGATTCTGTTACTGCATCGCCTGCTTCTTGCCACAGTCATTTTCCTGTTTTCTTTGGTCATGTCTTTCTACTGCAAAGACAGCCCATTTTCATGAAAAAACCCCATCTTTCCAGCAGTAACCATGAATTCTGTAATTGCCACTTATGTGCTCCAACTATTTACTTGGACTATCATATATGTCTGCTGTTTTTGATAAACTGAATTTCAGGCAAGGCAAATATCCAAAGGTTAAAGCGCTGCTTGTGGTAGTCGTTGCGCCATTCCGATGACTTGGGCTCATTACTAAACCTTTCTACCTGTAATGCTGATCTCAGGGCTCAGTGAAATGTTTTCAATTGCCCAGTCCTTCACCGTGGTTCTTGTCCTCAGTTGTCGACAGCGGATTCTGGATTATTGACGGCAAGAATTAGCTCAGTAGATGAGCATTAAATCAGTGTGACATGGGATCAGCCTGCGAAAACATAGCTTGTTTTTGAGGGAGCTATTTAGGAATTTAAGGGTCTTTATGAAGGGTAATAAACACAAAAAAATTGCTGTGACCACATACTAAATATTTCCCTTCATCCTCTTTCCTTGTTTTCTCTCCGTATCATTCTCTCCTGTGTGCTCTGAGCAGAAGAAAGAGCGAGAGTGCATGCAGCTGCGTATAGCCGTGCTGCGCAGTGAGCTGCAACGGCAGAGGAAGGCACTTGGCAGGGAGATAGATCTGCGGCAGAAGGAGAGGACACAGCTTCAGAAGAAAGGTAAAGCCAGTGGGTGCACACACAACACTTGGACTGATGCACCTATTAACACCACACTACATGTTTTATTGTTGTAAGCTTTGTTCCGATGAAAGGTGGTGATGGAATGATTTGAATTGCCCTTTTTACCTTTTGCACACACAATACGATGATGGGTTTTTTGACTCATTCACACAGAAAATATAATCTGTTGTTTCAGCTACAAGCAACTTAGCAACAATGTGAATAAATATACACACAAGGGCACATATTGATGTATATATTCAGCACACTAGATCAACATTTTACCCCCATATAATAGCTCTAGCAAACATGACTAGACTGGTGGCAATAGCAATGAAAGAGGTGTTGCATAAGTATCATGTGAGATGATCAGTCTGTCCTGCTGCAATATTTCTTGTCTCCAGTGGTGCTGCGACTCAAAAGCTTGTGTAAGTGGACTTAATATAATGATAAAAACACATGCAGCAAATTCCACTAAAATCCCCAGCCATTTCATGATTAATTACACGGCTTTGTTGCAGCTACTAATAGATAATAAAACAAAGAAAATAAATGGAATCGAGTGTTGCTACGACAGGTTACTCATGATTTTGTCTGTATTACAGAGGGCACAGGCCCAGCCAGGATATTTTTCAGTTTTTAGTTAGAATGGAACAGTAATTCCCTTTCAGTGTAGCTTATTGAAATAAATAGTTTCAGGAGTTTTCTTCTGTACACCCTTTGTAACATGCTCAGTTGCATCTCTCTACAGTTAAATCAAGTATCCCAAATCCGTGCTGTTATGTAAAAGTGTAAAAGTATTCTCCCACAGCCAGACCTATCTCCACATTTCGTTTTAGCGCTGTGCGTAAAACAACGACATGATGGGTTTAACCAGACCTTTGTCCAGCGCTGGCACAGCACTAGATAGGTCTGGCTATGTGAGAATGCCATTTACTGATAAAAGCAAGTTAAAGATTATTACAAAGCAGATTCTCACTGCGCCTATTAGACTATCAATTCAGTTATTTAAATACTGTTCATATTATGTGTTAAATTTGCTAGATTTACCATTTTGTCACTTTCAACATGTGATTTTATTGTAAAGGAAACTGTAAATCTTAAACACATCAGACACAGTGCTGTCTGACAGCAGCAGGTAGACTGTGTGTGTGCTGTATTACCTGTTCATTTTGGAGTACAGTAGAGAGTGTTGTCACATACAGGAAACCTCTGTCACGCTCCCAGTCAGAGGGTTGGAGTCACTCAACACACACATATGTACCCAATAATGTACAGTATATAGAGCCATTCCTGTGGTTTTGGCAGCCTGTGCCAGGCCGCTAAGGCGACAGTGTTTGTGCAGTGGTGTCATTTAGTTAACCCTGTGAAGTCTGCAGCTCCTGACTCTGATGTCAGAGAGCTGAGGAGGGTTTTACTGCTGCCTGTTGCTGTTCAGAGGAAAATAAAAGGGCAGTGTTAGTGAAGCTTGGGTTGACAAATGTCCACACACACATAAACCCAAATACATATACAGTTGTACACTGGTGTGCTTAATACCGAGCACTGTTTACTCTTGTTTTTTTGCATGTATCTCAGACTAATTTCAGTGTGTTCTTTGGTGGCTGCAGCACATGAACCTTTTGTTTCTTAGCTTTAAGGACTATTTAATATAATAAAAGTTAATATTTAGTAGCATACACCTATAACATTGTACAATGAAGGCCGATTCATGGTAAGTCACGCAACCCTTTTGGAAAGTGTTGCCACACAGAAGCTACAGTTGTGCATCGTTTTTAATTTATGCTATAGTGAAAGGTTTCAGCCATCTCTGTGGCAACCAGTGACCCCGTGTTTTTTTTACACAGTTTATTTCTGTCACAATTAGTGAAGCACAGAAAGCTGTTTAAATCACACAAATATCCAGCTGTATGTGTCTTGAACTTATTAACTCTTTCTACATTGATTGGTTGGCTCCCAGTCTGTCTGTGAGCAACTTACATTGCTATATCCAGACTGACATATTCATCATTTTCATAGCCAGTGCACATGTTATATAAGGAGAAAATGTGCTTGTGCCTATTTGTACGCCCGTAGGTTTGATCAGGCGCATTGTTGGCTTATTTCTGTCATCTATCTGCCATGTAAATAGCAGTCCACCAGGTGCAGGTTCACCTGGCTTTTAAAGGGAATGGGAGATGACACTCAAAGTGGTTGAATTCATGTTACATCCAAAACACATCTATGATAAATTAAAGGACTAAGTACAACCCCTTTGCCCCTTGCGCTTTACTTTCTGCCCTGATTAAACCGTTTAACTAGACAAGGTGGAGTTAGACACCTAAATGCATCTGCACCATGCACTTTAGACCATGCACTATAGAGTGTTTAAAAGGGCCCACTGCCTTGTGTCAGTAAGATCAGCTTGCTCTTTGGCCAAAGGGCAGCAGCACCTGAGCCACCAACTTGAGGAGGGGATTGGTAATGATTAGAATGTAGTCTGCGCATGCATGCAGACACACAAAAAAGACGGCACTAAGAGGGGGTTCACAGAGAAGTTTCCTTTGTGCTGCGATTCTAAAGAAAAAGGCCGTTAATCCTTTGCCTCTGTACCTGTCACCACTTCGTCTACAGCCAAAAGAACTCGCTGCTCTCCCTCTCTGCAGCTCATTGATGGCTTTTTTCCAGACTGGACAAGTGCTTATTAAGAAACAGAAGAAAAAATTCCTTCAGCTGGTTAAAGAGGGAAAAGGTATTTTGGGATAAATTGAAATGCTGCAGCTGAATAGGGCTTGCTGAAAATCTTGTTGTTTTTTCCCAGACTCATAACTCAAAAGCTAAAAGCCATATGCTTCTGAGCTCTGCTGTACTTCCAGCTTGTTGTTTAACTCTTCCAATCAGCCTGCACGTATTCGTTTGTTTCACTATCGGAAAAAAGCCCTGCGTTAATTACAGACAGGATGCTCTCGGAGTCAGGTGTTTACAGTATTTCATACAGCAGCAGATTTTGTGTCTGATTATATTTAGATTGGCACCACAACGTGTTTGTTTCATCTGATCTCATCTGTCATTTTGGAGACGATGATTTTATCAATTGTAGCTTAAATTTCAGTTTGAAAACTTTCCTCTGAAGACTCTATCAGCTCGTCTGTCAAAACACACACAAACAAGAAGAAGCAAATTTGGTCCCATTCAATCATACAGATTACTCATCAGACACACTGGTGGCTAAGCTACGGACGCATGATTTATAAACCCACGTAATGTTCAATGTTGATTCAATTAGAAGCAAGTGTTTCATTTGCTGAATTTTCACACATTCCAGTGCTTATTAAACACAGATTTCTTTTTAAGTTTTATTGACAGTTTAACAGTATGTGCAAGTACATTGCTATGCCATATATCCCCAGAGGGCATCCCGTATGGACTGTTAACCTCCATTCTTGGGCATGTTTTTTAGGATCTCATCTGTACCTGGCTGTGTGGTCCTAGGGCCCATTAGCGAGTAACTCTTATCAACCTGTTATTCGCAGGAAACTAGCCTCTCTTTAAAAACAAGCGGCCCAGAAAACCCAAACATCCAGTTGGGGTTCTGCAGGTGTGTGTGTGTCTGCACTTGAGCTGGCGGAGATGAAAGTTGGGTGTCCACATTTTTGTAAAGTAACTATTAGAATGTTGTTGCCGACTTGCTGATGTCTATTCAGTGTTCGTCTTTGTTCACGTGTGTGCGCTCCCTCTTTGCCATCCTGGACAGCGTTAGCATAATAAGCACTGAAAAACATCAGCAGTCGGTATCGTCCTGATGACAGGTTAACGACTAGCTGTTCAATGCCCACTGATTTACAGTGATGGCAGTGAAATCATAGCAGAAGTGTAGACTTGAGAAAAGCTTTTGTTTTTCCACGTCTCCTGCAAATGCATACATGCTCACGCTAAGTCCACTGCATGTCTCTCACACAATCCATAACTGAGGACATATGAGCATGACCACAGGTCTTGCCTTTTTTACGGCTGTGAATTTTAAAGTAAAAAGTCTTTCTTTCCTCCCCCCAGAATTAATGGGCTTGGTTTTGGTGGGGTCACACTCTTGTCACAATTTCCTCCAGTCTAATTTCCCTCCTTCCACCTTGAGCAGATGACATAAATCAGGTCCGTGAACGGCGTTTATTGTACTTAGTAACGGTAGTTATTCTCACGCTCTGTAACAGAGCCAGGGCTCCCGACCAATAAATGTCAGTGGTTGGGTTCCTCGAGTGTAAGGAGCACATTTTTGTGAAGGTATGGTGTGAGGAGGTATTTGTCACCTCAGAGAAAAGGTCTCATATTGAAGCTATCATCATTAGGGCTCCTTTAGTAGCAGCTTTGCACATTCCCTTCAGCTGGCTGCCATCTTGACTGACGATAAGGGTTGACAGTTGCGGCAGTCAAACACTCTGTGTAGTGACTCGTTAGGATGTCTTTCTATGTTTTTCCTGCTTTTTTTGTCAACCCCCCCCCCCCCCCCCCCCCCCCCACTCTCCCCCCCCCCCACCCCCCCCCCCTTTCCTCACATAGCATGAAGAGCCTTGGTTTAAAACAGTTCTGTTCTGATAGATATTTTAATTTGGAAACAAAGACAAGTAGACAAGTTCTTACCTGTTGTTTTCAAACATGCAGCATTCAAGATGGTCTCCTTTAAAGGGACAGTTCACCTTTGTCTCACCTGTGGTAAGATTTATCAACCCAGACTGTTTTGGTGTGAGTTGCAGAGTGTTGGAGATATTGGCCGTAGAGATGTCTGCCTTCTCTTCAATATAATGGAACTAGATGGCACTCTGCTTGTCGTGCTTAAAGGGCCAGAAACATACATTTGAACAACTCAACAGCAATGTCTCTTTCCAGAGATCATGACCTGGTTACTCAAAATAATCCACAGACCTTGTTGTGAGCAGTTTCATGTACGAACTATTTTCTTCCTGTCAAAACTACAACTGCCAACTGGTTGATGGGTGTAGTTCAGTAGAATAAAAAATAGTTCC